CACTGCACGCATGCTGCAGCCCATCCCAGTTTGGCTGTACACTAGGCACACAGAGTACTTTTACCTGGAGGCAGTGGCACGTGGCTGAGAACCACTGAGGTAAGCCAAGGCACCACAACAGTGGTTCTCAACCGAGGATGCCACCAAATTGAAAAAGCTGGGGAGGGGTGCCTTGCCTCTATGAAAGCGAGAACCAGCGCTTCAACAGAAGTTGTGCCAACTTCCAAGTTATAGAGTAATGATAGTGTTGTGGTCCAACCTTTGAGTAATACTTTATTAAACTTCACTGCAATAGAAAGCATCTTAGGTTATGACAACCCCTGATGTTCTTTTTAACCATTGAGAATGAAAAAGCACTTTAAGCTTTCCAAAAATCTCATGACAAACAAGCCCTGCACAGCACTGAAATTATATGGATAACCTGTATTTATTGCATTGTAGAATCAGCAAGGTTTTCTTCTTGGAACGTTCTTTGCTGCATTGATTTGTTCAGGCCATTTTGCCAGTATTGTCTGCGTTCGCTATATAAACATCCTTACCATGCTTTCCTTCTCCAGTCATTTATCTGAATTCATGGAATGACAACCCACCAAAAGAAGTTCTAAAGACAGTTAAAAGTTATCAATGAGAGGTATGTAAAACTTGTAAGTCACAGAACTATGTGCTAGTTTTCAAGCATTTAATTCAAATGCACTGAAAACTTACTAGGAAATGCAAATTCTTTATAAAATTATCTATGATATAATACTCCTTTATTCTGTCTCTCAGTTCCATTAAACCTATTCTAAACCCTCCTTTTACTAATACACATCTCTAAACTTCCTAGTTTAAAGATTTTCCTGCATGTACCAATCTTTGTTATTTTCATCATGGGATCTGGATATCATTATGTATTTAGGACTAAGGGCTTACATGTGTTTTTCCTATAATCTCTCTGAGTTGCCTCACTAACAGAGTGTTTCTCCAATACAAGTCATTAAACAAAGTCGTCCTTTATTCTCTGCTAGATGGAACTAAGAGAGGGAATGAGCAGTAATACTGCATTGTAGAAGACAGGGGAAAAATACTCAAAACAATTTTTGTTTAATAAAACACCAATGCTGGTTTCTATGAAGAACAGAGATCTTTCCATTAAAGAGAAAATATATTTCTCCAGGGCATCTACAGTGAAGAAAACATCCCAGACCTCACGTTCAGCAGTAAGTGCTACACAAACAGAAATTTAAGATGAAAGTATTTTTATTACAGCTTATAGTGTTTGTACTAAGTTTTATCATGCCTATAACTGAGTGTACGCCTATTAATTAAAATGTGCAACTACTGTTAGCAGCACTTTGCAATGATGTTTGCAAGTTTGATAGGTCAGAAAACAAAATGAATAAAAAAAGGTTTGTAGCTCTAGATCCTAATCTGTTGATCACGATGCAACTAAAAAATGAGAGCTTTGATTCAGCTATGCAAATCAGCTCTGCAAATGGAAGCTAAGCCATTGAAGGTTCTGACACAGCAAGCATACAATGTCATTTGCTGGAATAAGTCTTGACAGTTTGAGCAAAGAGAAGAGATTCTACAACAGGGAAGTTTTTCTGTGATGGCTTGAATTATGGACACTGGCTTGTTTTGAGAAGTATTGTAAACTGCCTGTAACTGCTTGGTTAAATGCATCTGCTATATGGATGAAGAGATGAAAATACCCTGTAAAAGGACTAAAATTGTGCCAGGAGCCATGCAGATTTTTACTATCTAATCCCATATATTGCAAAAACTAGAGGATTCATGCATAGCAGTCTTTAATGGGAGTCTCAACAAAGGCAGGTACTGATCTAAATTGATTTAACTGGGCACATCTACATGTGCATTTAATGCAACTGAATATACTCTGGGCCAATATGAGCTAGAGTAAACTAATCCCAATGTCGCTGTCTACACGTGTATTTAGGCACAGTAATTTACTGTGCTGCTAGATTCCACTTTTATCTGATGGGACTATCTGGAAGCCCAGTAAATTAGTTTACTGCACCCTAGTTGCCATGCATGTATAGATGGTGATGCTTTACTGTGCAACAAATTAATCTGCTGAGCATCATGTAGACACACCCTCTTTGTAGCATAGAAAAAAAATAAGAGCATTTTATTTCAGAAAGTGGTGTTACCTCCATATTATTACTGTACATTTTTTCCCCCAAACCTGTTATATTTAAAAGTCAGATGTTATGGTTAGTCTTTTGATGTACATAGTGAAAAAATAAAACAAAACATTACCAGTGGCTGTAAGTTTGAGAAGCAGGTAGGAGGCCATTCTTTCTCTTCTGCTTTGATAAAGGGCCCCAACCAGCCTATTTCATAGGGCAAGTTTCCTTTAGCTTATCCCAGCTTCCCTCAGAGACTCTGAGACTTCTCTATAAACTCCAAACTGTTTTACTAGGGATGACTGATAGAAGCAGATGCCACCTCTTTTTCTGTCATCCAGATGATTCAACTGTTTTAAGTATACTTGTGTCTGTCCACATGGGCACATTCCCATGGCATTACATTACTTTTGAGTGTTCTAGTTTTGGGGACTGTAGTTTGCCCCTCTATCTTAAATATGAATGAAAAACACTCCTCACTATCAGCATAACTTTAAAACCCAGAGTACCAGAACATTCAGCAAATATGTGTATGGTCAGTCAGAAAAATGACACATCCCTGAACAGCAGAACCATTCCCTGCATGTGTCCAAAATGATACAGTCTCTCTTTAATGTAAAACGTTGGTGATTTTTATTACTATTTTTGTGAGATCAGTTTGCACTGCTACCATAGATATAGGAGCTTGAACTGGATTCTGTTCCAACTCATCCATCAAAAGAACTAGGGTTCCTGACTTCAGGAAGCATCCTTAATTAGGACAGCATGTGTTTAAATGTATGCCAATGGAATTTAAGCACCAAGAATCATAGAAAACTAGGGTTCAAAGACTCTCACAAGCTTAGGGCTGGAAAGGACCTTGTGAGATCATCGGGTCCAGCCGCCCTGCTCCGGGCAGGAAAGACTGCTGGGGTCAAATAACCCCAGTAAGGTGTGCATCCAGTCTCCTTCTAAAGATCTCCAGGGTTGGAAGGGACCTCAGGAGGTCTTCTAGTCCAACCCCCTGCTCAAAACAGGACCATCCCCAACTAGAGCTTCCCAGCTAAAGCTTTGTCTAGCCATGTCTTAAAAACCTCCAAGGATGGAGATTCCAGAACCTCTCTGGGTAACCCATTCCAGTGTTTTACTACCCTCCTACTGAGAAAATTTTTCCTAATATCTACCCTAAACTTCCCTTATTGCACATGAGGAAGTGCTGTCCAGAATACAGACACCTGAGTGCCCAAGAAATATATACTTGAATTGGAATGAAGATGTAACTATAGCTTCTTTACTGCTGTGGATTTTGAGCAACCCATAGAACAAGATTTGGTATTCAGATCCAAAGCTGAATTTTCAATGTTGCCAAGTTAGGAAAAATAATTTTACTTGAGGAAAAAAGCAAATTTTCTGTTGAAGATAAACACTGAAAATGAAAACCTATTGCAACCCCTTTTTATGGTATGACATCTCTTCACTAATTACTTAACTGCTTTAAAGTATTTATGAAATACTATAGAATATGTAGTATCTATCAAAATAGCTAAAAACATATTTCAAAATTGTTTCACTTGAGTATACATGACTTTCTCCCCCCATGATAGTCTCTCTCCCATAAAAGACAGCTTTTAATCTGCAACATAATTAGTCTGCATAACATACAGTTTGATGCGCATAGGCTCCCTTGTAAAAACATATATTTTCGTTCATAAACCATGGAGTCCTTCATAAAGTACAAACAGAGCTTTCTTAAAGGGGAAAAAAAGATTTGCAAAGAAGTCTCAGCTCAGCAAGACAAGAAATAAGTCTGTCCCAGCAAACAAAAATTTTAATTGTTTTTAATGCTGACAACACATGCTGATCTTTCCCCATCCTCTCCCTGGATAACATTTGAGAAAACGGCAGATTCTGTTATTTTTCTGGACAAACTACACTGCGTTTTGAATATTCTTTTTAATTATAGGATGTGTCCACTGGCATTGTTAGCAGAACTGCCAACAGGAGTAACATGCATTTACTGTATGTTAAAAAAAGTAATGTAATTTCTGCTGAATACACATGGAATCCCAAATACCCAAGAGATCTTTGCCACCCGCATTTCTACTAAAGTCAGTGAAAGCCTTACTGCAGGGCACAGCATTCGGCTTCTTGTACAAAACCTTAACGAGTGCAGTCACCATAGAAGTAACCCATAATGGGCATAAATCCAATCTAAAAGTTATATTGTAAACTGTGTCAGATTTCATTGTTTTCCCTCTAAAACAGAATGATTTGAGATCAGTAAATTAAAAACTTAGTACGAATCAGTTGTTCTTATGGGATTTTCTTTCCGTTACAACTAAAATTACAATTTATAGTTGTTAAGTAACTAAGAAAAGTATTTATTTTCAGGCTAAAACTCAAGCTGGACTTCAAGCCTCAGAGTTGTGTAAAGTACTAAACAGCCTCAGCTCTCCTGTCAGTGGCTACTGAAGGTAGGTAGCAGTTCACACCAGCACTTAGAACCTCACAGGCTAGATTTAAGAGAATTGACTGGAGTCCTTAAATACCAGAGACCCCGCAACAAAAGCGGCTATATAAAATCCGAAGAATGACAAGACATGTAGGCTGAATGACAAAGCAATTATTCTTTGGTTTGTGGGACTATCGCTAAAAGCCTCTTCGCTCTTTCTTCTGAAAATTAGACATTGGGTGACAGTATTATTAGCTAGAAGAATACCTATTATTACTGTTAAACAGCCTAGCTAGAGGCCATTTTTAATTGATGTTTTGGGGGGGGTGGGTATAGTGTGTGTGTGTGTGTGTGTGTGTGTGTGTGTGTGTGTGTGTGTGTGTATATTTTTTTTTTAAAAGACTGCTTGCTAATTCCCCTTGCATAATTAAGGTCAAGTACTCGATGCATAAAATATATTTTCCCTATGTACCATTGTTTATAATCTGCTTGCATAATCATACAATTTAATTTACAACATTTATTCTGCCTAATATGCTAAGCATCTGCTTGTTACTTTAAACATGACCGAGGAACCAATTTACAGCTGATGGATCAGTCATGTAAAAAAAGGCAGCTTCTTCCAGTGATCAATCTCTAAAATGCTGTCCATTTGTAATCATTTATGTTCAATGCCTTGTGTACAGCTGCTCAGCTGTTTTGTAGGCTTCTCATCTGCTGCAGGGTCACGTCCAGATATTCATTCACACAGCTCTAATTTCAAATGCAAGCTTTTTTGTTTCCTGATTTCTTCTCTTTTCTCCTGTCCTTCTCTTCCCCCCTCCTCTTTTCAATTACAGACAGACTGCTACAGCCTTGGTTGGGAAGCTATCAGCCAGTTACACATATTTACAACGAGAGAAACGGGCAGACAAAAGGTGACAGCATATCATCATCATGGCATCAGGAGGTCTACAGTTCTTTGCTTTTATTCTAGCCCTGTTCGGTGTTTTTGGAGTCATTACAGCCACTTTACTACCCACTTGGAAGGTGAATGCCGATGTGGGTTCAAATATCATAACAGCTGTAACACAGACGCAAGGGCTCTGGATGGACTGCACATGGTATAGCACCGGGATGTTTAGCTGTACCCTGAAATATTCAATACTCTCTCTCCCTGTCTACATTCAGGCTGCACGGACCACCATGGTACTGTCTTCTATCCTCTCAGTTTTGGGGATTTGCATCTCTACAATTGGAATGAAATGCACAAAGTTGGGAGGGGACAAGGACACCAAAAACCACACTTCTTTTGCTGGAGGGATCTGCTTCATCCTTGCAGGAATCTTTGGATTAGTACCAACATCCTGGTACACAAGAGAGATCATTTTAAATTTTATGGACCCTACAATACCAGAGAGCAGTAAAAATGAACCAGGAGGAGCTGTTTACCTAGGATTCATTTCAGCAGGGCTTCTGTTCATCGCAGGTGCGATCTTCTGCACTTCCTGTTTTAAAAAGCAGCAGGGACCATGGATTTACCCCACCAAACAACAGCACCTCCCGTGCACACAGCAAGAGAACAATGCAGGCTATAACCTAAAAGACTACGTGTAAATAGAGTTATGTCTATCAGCTGCAGCTTTTTTGTGCCAAGTTTGGCTTTGTTTGTTTTAGATTAAAGGATATCTCAAAACAATACTTAACTTTTCTTATGTCAGGGCTGCAATTACTTTTTTGCAAGGTACTTTTATTTTTAACAAAATCAGCAGAGAGAAAAACTGTAGGAAATAAGTGTATGGTTCAGAGTTTATTTCTGCTGATTTTTCAAATCAAGTTTTCTTTGGTTTCCAAACTGAAATTTACTGAAGAGAAAGGAATCATTTAAAACAGGGTAATACAATTAACCTGAAGGCTAGGTACAGCAAATATGCTTGAAAAAAATCTATTCAGCAAAATCAAGGCACTAGTAATGTACCCACATGGGTATTTTTTTCCCCTCAGAACCTTGTTTAAATTATAGTGAAAACAAAACCAATTCTCCTTTTATGCGAGCACAATTTATTGTTCTTAACAGCCACATCTGCATTTCATTTCCAGTTTTTAACTGCCATGGTAACTGGCTTTCTTAGAAAGCTTAGCCACACTGTATATCTGCATATCAGTGGCTGAAGAACTAACATTGCCATTCAGATATTGCCAAAAATACCTCCTCTCCCCCCAAAACTCCACCTGCTGTGGGTCCCATTTTTTATTTTAAAAGAAATGGGTGCTGGGCAGTCTCCAACTGTTGTTAAGCTTTCACCAAACAAATAAATGTTAGGTCTAAGGAGGAACATGACAACAGAAGTGTCCTCACAACTAAGGAAATGCTTGGAACATTTATGTTCAAGATCCTTCCTTTCAATTACTGTTATTTACTTGATAAGTATTCAAAATCCAAATCCAAAGGCCATTGAAAGACTCCTACTAAGCTCAGTGGAATCTGGATCAGGCCCATTGTCACTAGTAAATTTGTCACATACAGCACTAGCAAATATCATGTTAATTTACAAGTATTTTGTCATCTTAATTTGATCTATGCTGCTGTATCTTCAGAACTTTCTTTCCAGCATGCAGAAACTGTTTCTCGCAATTAACTCAAGTCCTACGATGCATCTTATTTATCCATATTCAGTTTTTTAGTGCTTGAAGTTCACTAAATACAACTGCAATACTGTGCCATAACATAGATTAATTTAGTATGCATCACATATGACAAGATCTGAATGACAAGGAAGGAGTGAAGCTTCCTCTTTTATTATAGACTTTTATAGAGAATGAGATGGTTTTGTACACCTCGACAGTCTGTCTTAAATCCATTAGCAAGGAACTGGAGGTACAGACTTCATGTTGTATTATATGCTATTACTCAGAATTAATTATTTGAGTTTCCTGCCTACATTAATCAAAAATCACTGATAACAGTGCTAGATCAGCAGTTACAGTAGTGCAGACTTAGCCATGAGCAAAGTCAAAGTTATTTAAATAATAGAGCAGTATTATAAACTATTCTAAAACAGCTGTATTAAAATGTATGTAAACCTTCAGGGGTGTACAGGTTGGGTTTTTTTGAGGCACTAAGGTGTTTTTTTTCTGAAGGAGCAACATTTCTGAAAGATATTATTTTAATAAATATCTGCAATGCCTATTCAAATCACAAGCATCTCTGCCTTGAATTAAAAAAAAAATATCAGTACTCTTTAAAAAAAAAGTCTCTAGAGAAAACAAAAATAAAGGAAACCTTAAGAGAAAGGCAGAAGAAAAAAATATTTGTCCACTGTATGTATACATGAAGTCCAATAATTGCATAGGAAAATAATTGCTCAGAAAGACTCCTTCCTAATGCCACCTGAAAAGCACCTGAAGTTCCTTGTTTACCAATGTAAAGTTTAAGCTCATGAATTAAAGATAAAAGTTCAAGAAACTCAACAGCTTTCTGAGAAAATAAAGGTCCTCCACAAACAATGTGCATACCTAATTCAGGCCACGTGCTAATCAACTTTTCCTGGGGGGGGGACAGAGGGGATTAAAAGAAAAAAAGGAAGGAGGGAGTAAAAACAGAAAAGTAAAAAAATATGGTGAAAAGTTTGCACTGAATGATTTCTATGCTGCTTTTACTTTTGCAATACAGTCAACATTCAATAAAGTCAGCATTTGCTTTAGAGAGAAATATTCAATAAATAAAAAAGCTTAACTTCAAGAATTTTGCATTTTTAAGGGTCTTCAAGAGAGCCAGGTCATCACAAGACTGGATTCTGCTAAAAGCTAACTGCCTGGCAGCAGTCTATGGGCCAGATTCTCTCATGCACTTGAGCTGTTTGGCACAGGAAAGACTGGAAGATGAGGGAGCTGGCTGCTTACACATGCCCAATTCTAAGGGTCCTCACAGGGCTCTGACTACTTTGGCTCCACCATGCCACCCACTTGCCTCAATCAATGGAGAAGAGGGACCACATGACAAAAAGGTGACAACAAGGTCCTAAGTCTATTTGTTTCCTAGAGGTTATCGTTCACACATTTATATATGAAAAAGGGAGTTAGGACACATTAAATTTACTTTTTAAACATGGGCAATGAAACAAACTGATCTTTTAAAGAAAGACTTTAGATTTTTGATGCTTCCTACAGATCCACCGTTTTTATCCTGTGCTGACAAGAAATGTCCCAGGTAGTTCTGAATGGAGTTTGCAATGAGACGAAGTTGAGATACATGGTGATGTAGGGCAGAAGGAGCAACTATGTTGGTCAAAGACTCTACAAACATTAAGAGGCTAAAAGAGAAGTAATGTAGCCCAGCTGGAAGGGAAAAAAGCAGGTGGGTGGGAACTACAATAAAAGATTGGCTAAGAGAAGGAAAACAGAGTTTGAGAAGCTCAGCAGGTCAGTTACAGAAAAGCTGGTTACTAAGAAGAGACAGAGAAGAACAATGTTAGAAAGAGACACTGCCCTGGCACACTTTTTTTTGGGCAGCCTATGGGATCTCCCAGTGACAGGAAGGCGAAAAGAGGAAGAGTGCAGAGGTTGTGTCCTGCCAGCAATCCTAAGCAATTTATACTAGCTGTTTGTCTGCAGGCTGCATACACTGTTTCCTAAGCTGCTTCTAGTGACACACAAAACTACAGAAAAAGGTAAAGTGGAAAAAAAAAATAGTCCGACTTGCACAACACTACTCGTTTGGGGGGG